GCTTATATGCCCGGTCCTCTCATCCAATATTCACCAGTTCGTCGTTTCACCTCGCTGGTAATTCGACTTGGTACATGTAGTTTATGGTAAAACTAACTCTCTGTGTTCCTGCCGAATCTAACCCTTGTGTTCTCCGTCAGAATCCATCTGCCTACTCCTCTGCCTGCCACATCCAGCCACGTACCTCTCGTCTGAGTATCTCCGTGCTTCCACGCACACCGGCTCCAACCTGTCAACTATCGCCAGCTCTGGATCAGCGGCTTTCCTCGCCAGTGTACCTTCGTGCTTCCACGCACACCAGCTCCTTCCTGTCGACTCTCACCAGCTCTGGTCCCCCGGCTCTCCTCGCCAGAGTATCTCCGTGCATATCCGCACCACCTCAGTTAACAAACCCTGGCTTTGGGTTTATTGGATATTTAATCCCTCGTCTGACTCTATATAAGGTTTTTGGTTAATAAACCTTTTTCTACCTCAAAAGCTCTGTTTCATCGTCCTGTGTTCAGCATTGTGAGTTCACTCCTGTAGCTACCGGTGAGCTTAACAGTACGAACTGGTCACTATGAGCTCCGCTGATGCCGGATCGGATCCCGCCTCAGTCCAGCACGCCATTTCCCATCAGGGAAATCTTCTGGGCCATCATGAGCAGATGATTCGAGCCTTAGTGGAGAGCAATCAATCCATGGCTCTAAACGTCTCAAACCTTGCTGCTCAGGTCTCTGCTTTGACGTCTTCTGGTACACTTCCTGCCTCCTCCTATCCACCTGTGGATTCCACTCCATGCCGGGACTTCCCCATTGCCGATCCTGAGCCTTTCCACGGAGAGGTGGAGAAATGCAGAGGATTTCTTTTTCAATGCAATAAGGTATTTCGCCAGCGCCCCGTGTCTTTTTCCTCTGATGGAACTAAGATTAACTATATGTTGAGTTTGCTTCGTGGAAGAGCTTTAACCTGGGCCGAAGCATTGAGTTCTTCTGTGGATTACAATACACTTTCCTTTGGAGTTTTTTCGGATCATTTTTCCTCTGTTTTTGATCATCCTGAACACTCTGGCTCAGCTGCTAATCGTCTGTTGAATCTGCAACAAGGAACTCGAACCATTGCAGATTATTCTATCGAGTTTCGCACACTGGCGGCAGAAGCCCGATGGGACGAGGCGGCTTTAAGGGCTGTGTTTGTTAGGGGATTGAGGGATCAACTGAAGGATGAGCTGGCTGCAAGAGAGGAGCCTGCTGACCTCCAATCCTTAATCTCCTGGGTTTCTCGTCTCGACAGCCGGCTGCGGGAGCGCCGTGCGGAGCGCACGCAGCGTCCTCCTTTTGCTTTGCCTTATCAGCCAAACAGTTCTCCCAGGTTTGCTCCCTCTGTGTCCGGACCATCTGGCTTCACCTCACCAACCCGCGTGCCCACTTCTGCTATGGTGGAACCTATGCAGTTGGGACGCACTGGATTATCCCCTGAGGAGCGCCTTCGACGTATTAGGTGTGGAGAATGCCTGTACTGTGGAAAGGGTGGCCATATCCTCTCTGGCTGTCCTGTTCGCCCAAACGCAAGGGCTCGTCAGTGAAGTTGGGGGTCCTGACGAGTTCGCTTCCTACACCTATTGTAGCCCCAATTTTGAGCCGTTTTTTGATTCCTGCTAGACTTTGTTTCAACGCTCAGACATTGCCCCTTTCTGCTCTCGTTGACTCTGGAGCTGAGGATAGCTTTGTGGACTGTGAACTAGCCAAACAGCTGGGGTTACATTTGGAAACTCTAACAGAACCTCTGACAGCATATGCTTTAAATGGGAAAAGCATTTCTAAGGTTACACAGCAGACACAACCCTTAACCCTGTTTATTTCTGGTAATCACAGAGAGGAGATTCAACTGAAGGTTATTTCCTCACCAGCAACCCCTTTGGTTCTTGGATACCCATGGCTTCGCACCCACAATCCACATATTGATTGGGCCGGAGGAAGAATCATGGAATGGAGCCAGTCGTGCCACCTTCACTGTTTACAGTCTGCTGTGCCTCCCGTCCCTGTCGAACCTAAGTCTGCTCCTTGTGTCTCTGCTGAAGTTGACTTGTCTGGTGTTCCTGAAGTTTATCACAGCCTGAGTGGGGTCTTCAACAAGGAGAAAGCTCTCTCTCTCCCTCCTCATCGTCCCTATGATTGTCCCATCAATCTGCTGCCTGGAGCTCCTTTACCCACCAGCAGGCTTTATAATCTGTCTCGGCCTGAAAGAGAGTCCATGGAGAGATACATCGGTGACTCTCTTGCTTCTGGGATAATTCGTCCTTCTTCCTCTCCTCTGGGTGCTGGGTTTTTCTTCGTGGACAAAAAGGATAAGTCTCTCCGACCCTGTATTGACTTTCGTGGGCTAAATAACATTACAGTTAAAAACAAGTACCCACTTCCCCTGATAAACTCAGCCTTTGAACCTCTCCAAGGTGCCACCATCTTCTCCAAGCTCGACCTCAGGAATGCCTACCACCTTGTTCGAATTCGCCAAGGAGATGAGTGGAAGACAGCTTTCAACACCCCCCTTGGTCACTTCGAATATCTTGTCATGCCCTTTGGACTCTCTAATGCCCCCGCTGTTTTCCAGGCCCTGGTTAACGATGTCCTACGAGACTTCCTTAACCGATTCGTGTTCGTTTACATTGACGACATCTTGATTTTTTCCACGAGTCTGGAGGAACATCAGGACCACGTCAGTCAGGTGCTGCAAAGGCTGCTTGAGAACAAGCTGTTCGTCAAGGCTGAGAAGTGCGAGTTTCACCAGGAGCGGGTCAGCTTCCTGGGATATATCATCAGGCAGGGCAAGTTGGAGGCTGATCCAGGAAAGATCCTAGCTGTCTCCGAGTGGCCAGTCCCCACTACTAGGAAGGAGCTGCAGAGGTTCCTGGGTTTTGCTAACTTCTATCGCCGGTTCATCAGGAACTATAGCAAGGTAGCAGCTCCACTCTCCAGTCTCACTTCTGTCAAGATCAAGTTTACCTGGACTACTGATGCTAACAAGGCATTTCTTCTCCTCAAATCCTTGTTCACATCTGCCCCCATACTCATCCAGCCAGACTCAAGCAAGCAGTTTGTGGTGGAGGTAGATGCATCTGACATCGGGGTTGGCGCTGTTTTGTCTCAGACGGCAGGGCCAGACAATAAGCTTCACCCATGTGCTTTCTTCTCTCGCCGTCTTTCCCCAGCTGAGAGAAATTATGATGTGGGCAACAGAGAGCTGCTGGCAGTGAAGATGGCGTTGGAGGAGTGGCGACACTGGCTCGAGGGCAGCGAGCAGCCATTCCTGGTTTGGACTGACCACAAGAACCTGGAGTACATTCAGTCTGCTAAACGGCTAAACTCCCGACAGGCCAGGTGGGCCCTCTTCTTTGGTCGTTTCAACTTCTCTCTAACTTATCGTCCTGGTTCCAAGAATACTAAACCCGACGCCCTGTCCAGGTCGTTTTTGTCTGAGGGACCAGTCACGTCTTTTGACTCTATTCTTCCCCTGAGCTGTGTTGTGGGTGGCCTCACCTGGGAGATCAGTAACTCCATCCAGGAGGCGCTATTGGAGCAACCGGACCCTGGTTGTGGTCCGCCAAACCGTCAGTTTGTCCCCAACTCTGTCCGTTCTCAAGTCCTGCAGTGGGTCCACAGCTCCCTTTTCGCTAATCATCCTGGTGCCAACCGCACACTCTCTCTTCTCCGGAGACATTTCTGGTGGCCAACAGTTGACAAGGACACTAAGGAGTTTGTTTCAGCCTGCACTACATGTGCTAGGAGCAAGGCCTCTCATCAGAGACCTGCAGGATTGCTCCAGCCCCTTCCTATCCCAAGTCGACCTTGGTCTCATATTGCACTAGATTTTGTCACCGGCCTACCTCCCTCACAAGGAAACACAACTATTCTAACAGTTGTAGACCGTTTCTCCAAATGTGCCCATTTTGTAGCTCTGCCCAAGCTTCCCTCAGCCCTGGAGACCGGTCAACTTCTCACCCAGCATGTTTTCCGCCTGCATGGAATCCCGGCTGACATCGTCTCCGACCGTGGACCTCAGTTCATCTCTCTGGTTTGGAAGAATTTCTGTCATTCACTTGGTGCATCGGTCAGTCTAACTTCTGGTTATCATCCCCAGTCAAACGGTCAAACTGAAAGGGCCAATCAAGACCTGGAATCTACTCTCCGCTGTGTTGCCAATCGCAATCAATCTACCTGGAGCTCCCTTCTACCCTGGGTGGAGTATTCCTTTAATTCACTCACGTCTTCTGCAACTGCTCTCTCTCCTTTTGAAGCCTCCTTAGGGTACCAACCTCCCCTGTTTCCTGAGGAGGAGAGCGAGTTGGCAGTTCCTTCTGTCCAGCATCACATTCAACGGTGCCGTAAGATTTGGAGGGACACTCGCTCAGAACTCCTCCGGACTTCTACCAGGAATCAACGGTCAGCTAACCGTCACAGACATGCCGCTCCCCATTACACCCCTGGACAATCAGTTTGGTTGTCTTCCAAAAATATCTCACTCCTCACCGAGTCAAAGAAACTGTCCCCTCGGTTCCTTGGGCCTTTCCTCATTGAGCGCATTATTAACCCCTCTGCTGTCCGCTTGAGACTCCCCAGATCCATGAAGGTTCATCCAACCTTTCATGTTTCCCAGATCAAGCCAGTCCACACTAGTGACCTGTGCCCTCCAACCATTCCCCCTCCTCCCCCCCGAGTCATCGATGATCATCCTGCCTACACTGTGCATCGGCTTATGGATGTCAGACGCCGGGGCAGGGGCTTTCAGTACCTGGTTGATTGGGAGGGTTACAACCTGGAGGAACGTTGCTGGGTGCCTCGGTCACGCATCATGGACCCTGTCATGGTGAGGGAGTTCCACAGAGCACACCCTGACAAGCCTGGTGGTCGCCAGGAGGCTCCCGTGGAGAGGGGGGTACTGTGAGGATTTACAGTATCTCCCTCCTTCTTCTCTTCTTTGTTTTATGTTTGTTATGTTCGTTCTGTCTGTCTGTGTGCCTGTCTCCCTGGCTGGGTGTGGCTGACCCACTTCTGATTCCCGCCAACTCACCTCCGCAGCTGCTGCTCATCATCCTGATTACACTACTCACCTTCACCTGCTTATATGCCCGGTCCTCTCATCCAATATTCACCAGTTCGTCGTTTCACCTCGCTGGTAATTCGACTTGGTACATGTAGTTTATGGTAAAACTAACTCTCTGTGTTCCTGCCGAATCTAACCCTTGTGTTCTCCGTCAGAATCCATCTGCCTACTCCTCTGCCTGCCACATCCAGCCACGTACCTCTCGTCTGAGTATCTCCGTGCTTCCACGCACACCGGCTCCAACCTGTCAACTATCGCCAGCTCTGGATCAGCGGCTTTCCTCGCCAGTGTACCTTCGTGCTTCCACGCACACCAGCTCCTTCCTGTCGACTCTCACCAGCTCTGGTCCCCCGGCTCTCCTCGCCAGAGTATCTCCGTGCATATCCGCACCACCTCAGTTAACAAACCCTGGCTTTGGGTTTATTGGATATTTAATCCCTCGTCTGACTCTATATAAGGTTTTTGGTTAATAAACCTTTTTCTACCTCAAAAGCTCTGTTTCATCGTCCTGTGTTCAGCATTGTGAGTTCACTCCTGTAGCTACCGGTGAGCTTAACACCAGGAGGTTGCAGTTACAACGAGCGCTGGCTAGCAGAAGACAAATACAAGCCATGGCTAAGACGAGGGTCAATCCCACGAGTTGCCTCCTGCAAAGTTTGCAAAAAATAACGATGCGAGAGTCTGCGCTGACGAGCCACATGAAAGGTACGCCGTAGTAGAGCATTTTAGATTAGGCTAACGTTGCATGTTACGTGTTGGTTTCCCCAAAAGTGGGCGGGGCTGTAAAGTGACGTAGATTTTACTCTCATCTATTATTTGAAACCATTCTATTTATTCTAACGTAAATTACATGCCAGTGTTTTATCTTTTAATTTTTTTGTTTTTATTTTAAATCGTATAATGTCTGACTTTTTTTGCCGTCTGTGAGGAAAAGAAATGGGGCTTAGAGCCTCAAAATACTGAAATCTGTATTTTTGAAAATCTTTTTTTCCTTCTAATTTGTTATTCTTTTCTAAATAACACACTGTTATTTACTCAACAATAACACACAATGATCCTTGTTTTTATTTATTTGTTTAATTCTATAATCTTGAGCTTTTTAGCATGCTTTTTAGCCGTAAATAAAGTCACCGGAAACAGACGTAGGCCTATAAAGGACATTTCGAGCGATACACACCACAAACCCACTGAACTGATTACCCAAGATCCTCAGCTTGAAGCTCGTTGATTGGATGTTTTAGCCGCAATGCACGTTGGGATATGGTGTTAATGCGATATGATATCCGAAAACATTTAAAAAAAAATAATAATACTTTATTCCGAGTGTTCTTGCTTTTCTCTTTGGAAGTCATCACATAACGGCATCGTAATACACGGTTCGGCTGCATTAAATATTACACATCTGCTGTAGTTCTTTATTTATAGAGCCCTGATGAGAAGACTTCTGGACAAACTGGAAGAACTGCCGCCAAAACTGAATATGTGACGTGGATCATAAATATATCAACAATTAAACAACATCTTACATTTCTTTTCACAAAATACGTCTCCTTGCAGTATCAACACTAATTCGGCTGACTTTTATATTTGATCCAATTGGTAGATAGGCTGTATTTACACCATAACGGTGCACAGCTGATAGAAAAGGACTTGTAGTTTTTAAAGATATTACTGATTTTCTTTGAATATAAGAATGTAAATACTGAGTTGAGAGAATAGTCAGGGGATTTGGGTGATGGGAGACACATCTATGGAATCACAATTTCAATAGCTTACTGTTGAATGACGGATATACCTTTCTGTCTGTGATGTTTTACAAATCAGAGATATTAATGTGTAGAAGTAAAACATCAGAAATAATATAGCAATATCCTGTAAAATTATGTAAAAACATGAATAAAACTACACATCTTCAGATGTTATACATACATAAGTGTCCTACACTGATAATACAAAGTTATTATTAGTATGCTGTGTGTACCTTGTGTGCACCGCCTAGTGGTTAAAGCACGTTATTGAATTATCTTTGTTGAATAATGTTATTTTTGTTGAATAATGTTATTTGATGAAAAAAATATTAAGAGTACATACTTTCATAGGGGGAAAGTAGAAGGTCAATGATAGAAATATAGAATATAAAAAATCAAGAAGATACTGTAAGTGATCTCTACAATAAAACAGTTTAGTGCTGGATGTACAAAGATATTAATATGAGGATGTGCAAAACAGACAAACTAATTAACCTTTATTAACACATTAAAGAATGCTTTAGGTTAAGGTCTTCTTTCAAATAAGAAAAAAGCTTTGGGGGTATCTACAGATAAATATTAAGCCTGACAAAGTACTTAACGTCTAATATATTGCTTTCCTGCAATGTTAACTATGTTGAAGCACTTATTTTAACTGATATTATACACATTAATTATACTCTTATGTATGGATAGAATAAGAAATGTGCAGAATTTGACAGTTTAATGGTGGAGGTATACACACATATTGATAGATGTCTTGTAATGCACTGTTGAGGAACCTGTGACCCAAGTTTTTCATTCATTGCATAACTACACCGTAGTTGTGTATATGATATGTCAATAAACCTTAGAAAATCTTGAAATCTTGAAAGGGATGTGCAAAATAGCCATTATATACAGTTTTTAATTAACTATTAGTAGAGAATAACGAGTAATTAATATACTTTATAGAGATCTGCAGATAAATGTTTGGTCTTCTCAAACACCAACTATCAAATATCTCTCCTGATTGTTGGCACTTGACAATCACCTTCCCTGAATTTTACTCAGGTGTAACTAAAGTCTGATTTATATGGAGGACGGAACATGACTTAAGTATAAATAAATAAATGTGTAAATAAATGTATGAAGAAATACAGGAATAAATAAATACAGGAATAAATAAATGACGAAATAAATACAGAAATAAATAAATGTTGAAATGAATACACAAATAAATAAATAAAAGAATAATTAAATAAATAAATGCATAAATAAATATACCAATGTATAAATAAATAAATAAAAGTCGAAAATAAAACAGAACACACGTTATTATATATCTTTCATTTATTTCTACATTTACGCGACATACATTTATTTATTTATGTATTTATGTGACCATATGCTAATGGGGTGGGCGGTCCTAACCTCAGTCTGAAGCAGGATTCGCCAATTGTTGGAGCCAGGCAGAAGCCATAGATTCGTGGCAAGTCACATCTGTACATTCTGTGTACAGTGTACACCCACGGCAACTCGCTAATAATGGCTTCGGCTGGAAGGGCGCTGGCAGACCTTCTGCGGGATGCGGCTAACCAGCTTGAAAACTGTAAGTGACTCATGTTTAGGTCTAGTGTAAGACTGATATGACAATGTAAAAAAACTGATCTGTGTGTTAAAATGCCAATGTACAGTTTTGTACCCAATGTGGCGCTATGTTATGTTTTGTGCAGCACCAAGGACCGCTAACGCGCCAGTTTCGTCTCCTCCTCCTCCTCCTCCTCCTCCTCATCCGTTACATAACGGGACTCCCAGACACCCAGTGGACGGTAGGTCTTTGCATCAAACTATTTGTAATGCAAATCCGATCAGTGTACTAAGTTTATATCGCCAATGACAAGTTATTTGATTCAGTTTCTGTCCACCAGCTTGAAGGGATCATTATATTTATAGTGTGTGATGCTAATGCTAACCAACATTTTCCCCCTGGATTCTCGTTGAATCATTATTTCCTTGCACTCAATATTGCTTATCTTCTTAACTTGATCCTAGCCGAAGTTTCAAGACTGTTTGGCCCCTACATGGGAGGGAGGAGGACGGCAGGGCGGCAAACCCTTTCTGTTCCTGCACACCTGCATTCTTATACCCATTTATTCTGTTGCCTTGAGGACAAGAATGCAGCCTTAGTCCCCAACCGATACGCCAAAGAAAGACTCGCTGCTGCTGGCTTAGGGGAAAAACGGCTCACATTTAAAGGTCTGTCAGTCATTAGAATGACGATTATCAAACTGCTTTTTCCTTTTCTGTGTATTTTTTATGGTAAATGTACATTTGTGATATATAAATATATTGAGTTACCCTTACAATCATAACATTATCTTTATGTTAGATCTCTTATGTGTATCATCTATTTCTAGGCAGCCATACAGATTCAAATGAATTCCTCGAATTCTTGATGGATGCCTATCCAAAACTGCGGAACGGTGGCGGTTTCGAGTTGCTAAAAATATCTGGCACTACGAGAAGTCGCCACTTGATTGTGATCCCCTGTCCCAATGAGGGTTATTACTATGTCAGATATTTGAAGGACCCTCAGACCCAGATTGGCCATTCTACGGTTTTCATTAGACCAATGCAAAGAACCCTGAATTTGGACCCTGTAAATTCCTCACTTCTATAGTGGTGTAACAATTAAACATTAAAAGTAGAATCTGTGACTTACAGTAACATAATTGTTCGCTTGTGATGTAGTTTAAAACTATTTTGTTTACAGGCATGTCGATCAGAAGGCGACAACGTGTTAATTGGACCAAATCAGAAATGTGTCATCTGTGGAGAGGAGTTCCCCTTTTCCAGAATCAAGGATCACAGCAATAACTGCATGAGGTATTACTCTCTACAGAACTAAACATCACATTCGTCAGGCACACTGCAACTGCATGTGTAGACACACAATAACCAATAAGCATAAGGCTGTGGGATGCTGCAAATGGATGTAAAATATTTTGACATATCAGCACATCTGAGGTTTTATAATTATGGGGCCAGATATTAGTACTTTTTGTTCCAACAATCCCTCTGTAACGCCATATTTTGCTGTCCTCTATAATACATTTAAATATGAAAGATATACATTCTGGATGTTGGTTTTGAGGAAAAGTAACATTTGGTTTACTTGTCATTCTATTTATATGCCCATCTTTTTCTAGAGTGCGATATGTAATGTAAAGTATACTAGACCGAGTAACAGAAATGACCTCTTTTTACACTAGACCATTACAGAGCAGCAGTGAGGTACGGATTGAGTTGACAACTGAAAGGGCCTCCGGAAGTCAAGTTAGATTTGAAAGCACGTTCACAGGAGCACAGGGAAATGAGACAACAAGGGCCAGGAACACAAGACACTCTGTGCCACCTCAGGAAATTGTGCCTTCTCCTGAGGTAGTTGACATCGATCCCACTGAGGAAAGTGGCTTCTCTGGTGTGTAACATCCTTTATTAGTACATCATGTATTGCAATAAGTTGTTGCTCTCTACATTTCACTTGATCCAATATTAATTTGGAAACCTTTTAAACTATTTTTAGATTGGAAAATAGCGCCAGATCCCACAGAGGCAGCAAAGATGTTTAAAGAAGACATTTTAAGCCAGCATGCAACTGGAAAATCCTTGTGTCTTACTATGGATCTTGGAGACAGTGCAGAGGAAAGGGAAAGAGCAGTCCTTACTTTTTATAAGAAGGCAAATGTTGAGTGGGCTTGC